GTACTCTTATCCCATTTCATTTCTGTGGGACTGTAAAAAGCAAAGAGAAAATTCTGGGAAAGCCCAGTGATCAGCTGGGTTAATCATTTGAAGAGCCTGGTTTTAGTTAGATTAGGCTAGATCCACAAACAGTGCAATTTAATTTCTGAACTGTTGTTACAGTATCTACCTGGAAATCTTAGATATTCAAAAGCCTCGCTCAGCTGTTGCTTGAGCTTGGAGATATCTGGTCCTTTATGTTCAAACTCCTTACATAGCTGAAATTTTGCTTCCTCCTAACCTGAAACATACTGATAATGAAGAACTGGGGTTTTTTCTGATAGTTTAGGACCACCTTTCATCTGAGATGTGGGATTAAATGAGGTAATCAGCTAGGACAGATAGGAACACGTGTGTTCATGGTGCTTAGTCAAGGACATGGTTGGCCAGCCTGCAGGCTGGGGATCTGCAGGGCAGCGAGTAAGATTCCCATTCATGTCCTATCAACCATTTTGTGGTCTTTAAAATTGTGGTCCTGAGTTCTGATCCTTTGAGAAAGGGGAAAAAAAAAAAAAAAAAAGAATTTGTGTCTCCTGTATCCTGGTTGACTGGTTTAAGCTTGAGTCATATTAAATCTCTACCTGGACTTCAGCAAGGCCTTTGACACAGTCTCCCACAGCATTCTCCTAGAGAAGCTGGTGGCTCATGGCTTTGACAGGTGTACACTTGGCTGGGTAAAAACTGACTGGGTGGCTGAGCCCAGAGAGTTGTAGTCAATGGAATTAAATCCAGTTGGAGGCTGGTCACAAGCAGTGTCCCCCAGGGCTCAGTTCTGGGGCCAGTCTTGTTTAACATCTTTATTGGTGACCTGGACGAGGGGATTGAGTGTACCCTCAGTAAGTTTGCAGATGACACCAAACTGGGTGGGAGTGTCGATCTGCTTGAGGGCAGGACGGCTCTGCAGAGGGACCTGGACAGGCTGGATCGATGGGCCAAGGCCAACTGTATGAGCTTCAACAAGGCCAAGTGCTGGGTCCTGCACTGGGTCGCAACAACCCCATGCAACATTACAGCCTCGGGGAAGAGTGGCTGGAAAGGTGCCTGGCAGAGAAAGACCTGGGGGTACTGGTTGACAGCCGGCTGAATATGAGCCAGCAGTGTGCCCAGGTGGCCAAGAAGACCAATGGCATCCTGGCTTGTATCAGGAACAGTGTGGCCAGCAGGAGTAGGGAAGTGATTGTGCCCCTGTACTCGGTGCTGGTGAGGCCGCACCTTGAATACTGTGTTCAGTTTTGGGCCCCTCACTACAAGAAAGACGTTGTGTTGCTGGAACATGTCCAGAGGAGAGCCACAAAGCTGGTGAGGGGTCTGGAGCACAAGTCTTATGAGGAATAGCTGAGGGAACTGGGGTTATTTAGTCTGGAGAAGAGGAGGCTGAAGGGAGACCTTATCACCCTCTACATCTACCTGAAGGGAGGTTGTAGTGAGGTGAGTCTTAGTCTCTTCTCCCTAGTAACGGACGGTAGGATGAGGAGAAATGGTCTGAAGTTGCACCAGGGCAGGTTTAGTTTGGACATTAGGAAAAATTTTTTCAATGAAAGCGTTGTCCAGCACTGGAACTGGCTGCCCAGGGAAGTGGTTGAGTCCCCATCCATGGAGGTATTTAAAAGACGGGTAGACATGGTTCTTGGGGACATGGTTTAGTAGTGGGATGGCAGGGTTAGGTTAACGGTTAGACTTGATGACCTTAAAAGTCTTTTCCAACCTAAACTGTTCTATTCTATTCCAAATAGAACCAATGTGAGCTGTCTGCTTCATGCTACCTGTCCACCTCTGTGGGTAAATTTACCTCTTAGTGTGTCAGATAACCTGAACCGATGGATCATCCTAAGAAGCAATGCTTGTAGTTTTATAGAAGCCAGACTGCATCTCAAACCAATAAGGATTCTAAAATCCATAAAGCCACTCACTGTTTCTTCCATCCATCTGAAAGACTTAACTTCTGGCTTTGACTATGTCTGTCAATTAATTTCTCTACTGGCTCTCACTCCAAGAATTCTTTCCTCCCCTTCAAATACCTTTCCTCGATTTGAATTTAGCATTGTCTGATTGAACGAACAGGAAATAAATGAAACGCATTTGAACATTTTTGTTTCCATTGGGTTATGGAGAATTTTCTCAGGATTGTAGAAGTTAAAATAATGAATTGTTATTCTGTGCAGAAGCTTGTCAAATGTAGGGACGCTTTCCAAGAACTTGCTCTAAGTTCAGTCTGTTTTCTCCAGATTTTCTTTCATTCTTACAAACATGTTTTCAGCTGTAATATGAAGAGTGAATTATGTTCTTTGCTTGTACATAATCTATGAAACAGGTAAACAGATTTCCTCTCATCTTAATGATAACATTTTGTGTTATTTACATGCTATGTTTGACTATTTTTTCTGATTATATGAACACACTAAGAATGGCATTGTTTATATTAACATGGAGATCAGTTCTGGCAACACATACACACAAAATTAATTTCAATACTCAAGTCAATGACTTTTTTTATATTTTTTTACCTGTTATTGAATTAAGAAGTTAGGTTATTTTTCCTGAAGGGATACAGAGGTATTACTCTCCAAGCCTTGTAAAGTACAGTGTGTTAGCACTGGCTTCAAGTGCACTGGCTAGTGGTCGTTTTGGTTCTCCAACACATCTCGGAGGCAGTGAGCAGACCTGTTGGTTCTCTGGACTAATAGCAACGACTTTCTCAAAACTGGTAGCTTTCTGCTGTAGAGAGAGAATATTCTACTCATCTAATATTACTGTAAAGCTTACACATGTCCAGAGCCATGATGGGATCCTTATAATGAAGGACAAAGTGCCACTTTTGTCTTTCAAATGGCTGATTTTGGGGGGTATGCTGATATAGCTCAAATTAAAAAAACCCATACGTTTAAGTATTATATAATGTTAATTCTTGACTTTTTATGAAATACCACAGTATAAATTATCAGTAATCCATATGCAGAAATCAAAGATTTTCAGTGAAAGCATAAGAAGGCATGCTACAGAATAACACAAATAAATATCACCCCAGCAGAGACGCCTAAAACCGCTGAGGGGCTGAGCTGCCCCTGCATGGGGCAATCTGCATGTCACTGTGTCAGTTAACCTTCACCAAGGGATCACTGTAGGACACACCGCCTGTTTGTACTTTTGTATGAGCTAAGCTAAAGTTCAACCATCGAAAAAGGAAATAAAATCAGTCTTTGACTGTGGCTAGATCAGGCCAGGGTTCTTTTGTGAGAAATAGGAGAGGAGGTATGCTGTCTTAAAAAGAATAGCATATACACGATACTTAATTCTAAATCATATCTAAAGAAAAATGAATAGTGAATTTTTGTCTTGTATTTGCCAAACTAGAATGACTTGTAGTATTAGGAAGGTACTTAATCCAAACAAGGCAACAGTGAATCCACTGATTTGGAAATGGAATCTAAAAATCTAACATAGACCAATGAAGATGATTAAGGTTAAACAGAGCAAAGTTCATTAGTCCTTCCGAAAAGTGAAGTTCAGCTGAAGGAAGAAATGGAAGATGTGGTTTGTAAGTTGTATTTGCAAGTGCGTTTAAGTAGCTTAAGGTACTGAATTTACGAAAGGTTACTTAATTTCTTTCTTGGGTGCTGTAAAAATGGGTTCTTTAGCAAGGTTCTTGTACTGCAGGTAAAGGTTCATGTGGGTCAGTAGTCTAAGGCCACCCCTGCCAGGAAGGCCCCTGCTGTTGGGAGTGTGGCTTGCCTTCCAGTTAGTTTAAGTCCAAATTTAAACTACTGAGAACACTGGCATAAACTCCATTTATTTTAATTTTCTTCTGTTCACTTACTGGAGGTTCAGTCTCATCTTTCTTCCTTTGACTTCTGGTAATTTTGTTACTGTTCAGATGCAAGAGTAATTACTCAGCTGGTTAATGAATTATGATGCTTATATTACAGGGAAATCTTTGTAACTTAAAAATAGAAATCAAATTGCTTGTTAATTCCCTCTAGTGACAGGTGACGAATATACCAAAATTAAACTTTAGTCATAGATGGCAGCAGCACAGTTGCTAAGTTGCTGAACTCCCTGGTACCTGGGTAAGATGGAAAAGTGATGTCAAATGCCTACCTGGTTCAGGTCTTCATGAAAAATTAAAAGATTTCTTTTCTTCCTTGGTCAGAAGGGAAGAGGAGGCTCTATTGTTCAGTCTGAGTTGTTTTTTTCTCTCCTGTCAGTTGGGATATCTTTGAATTGTGTGATTCTAGTATGCGTGCTCTGCTGTCCATGGTTATAATCCATCCTTTTTTAGGCCTTATTTGATTAAGGAGGAGTGCTATATTAGTTTTATTTTGTGAATACTGCCTGGGAAATTTATTTAAACTTTAATCTTGTATGACTTTGAAATAAATAGTTCACAGCTTTGTATAAAACAATAAAGAATTAACACTTCAGAAGTAATACATGATTTTTATAGTTTTATTTGTGACAAAAAAATATACTTACAGTTCTATAAGCATACCACTATATTGCTCTGTAAGGAAGAATGATTGATTAGTATTAGGCTAATTTTATGTCATTGCTTTCAACTGATTGATGTTACTCATTGTTTTAGTTCTTCTTGCCACTCTTAGTAAGTCCTCCTTGTTTCTGGATATGCGTGATGGCTCAGGTGAAGCTATCAACCCTTCTATCAGATAACAGAATTGGTGCCACCTTTTCCCGTTTGTTTCATTTGGGTTTACCTAGCATAGCTTGTTCAGTAGAAAAATTGAAGGATCTAAAATTTCTGTTGAGTTGTTTTCTTTCTCTTTTCCCCAGACATCTTTATTTCTACTTTTTTCTCTATTCTGCCATTTTTCATTTAGCAGACAGTACTTTGAAAAGCAGTTCTGTTCCTTAACCTTTTTGTCATTGCACAGCAAATTTTTCTTCATGTGATAAAATGATAAACCTGATCTTCATTTGCTGAAAGATTCTTAATGTGGTCTTTGCAGGATGTGGTACTGCAACAGGAGGCGCTGAAGATGAGGGTGAGGCTGAAGCTGGCTGGATTGAAGGTGCTGCCATCCTACTCTCTGTTATCTGTGTTGTACTTGTCACTGCCTTCAATGACTGGAGCAAGGAGAAGCAGTTCCGTGGGCTTCAAAGTCGTATTGAGCAGGAACAGAAATTTACTGTTGTCCGAGGCGGACAGGTTATCCAAATCCCAGTGGCAGAGATAGTAGTTGGTGACATTGCACAGGTGAAATATGGTAAGTCCTGTCAACTAGATGTCTACTTTTCTGAACTTTATTTATTCTCCTTTCCCTTTCTAGAAGAATAGACTCACTTCACTGGAAGTGATTTGAAAGACAGAGAATTATGTGGTGTCATCATTGTCCATGGTAACATAATAATTTGGCTGTTAGGGCTAAAGGAAAACCTAAGATACTTGCTATAAAATTGCATTAGGTAATTTTGTAACCTTCACTTCCTTTCACTGCCAAGGACAAGAAATGTTCATACAGAATTAATTCTCTTTCATGGAGGATTAAACTATTTGGGATTTTTTGTTTCTGTCCAGCTAGGAATAAGAGGAAGTATTTTTATATGCTCTGTGAAAGGGAATTGTGCCTCTGTGCTCACCCCACGCGGTAGGCTGCTCCAGAGCTATGGATCCTGTAAGTCCCCCCAGATCAGATGCTTCTAGTAGGTGGATGCCTTATATACCACAGGGAAAGCCCTGTGTTCCAGTGAACAGGGAGACCTTTGCAGGAACTCTGTGTACTCTGTGTCTGAGTGAGCTGGCAAATTCCAGCAAAATGCCTGTTCTATCAACCAGCAAGCTTCTTCTGGACTTAGCTAAGGGCTTCCTGAGAGGTGAAGGGGAAAGGGCAGCTTGCCTGTTTGTTAGCCATTGTTAATTCCTATGAAGTCTGACAGTGATTATTATGTTCATTGTATGTTAAATGTGATGCATTCTGATTCTGCAATAGCATTAGGCAAAAAATATTTGCAATGCAAAGGACCTTCCCTATAAGATTGTAATAATACAGCTAACATGGACCTATACAGTAGTAGTTCTTTCAGTTTTGCTTTCAGTTTAGATTTTAATGCAATTGTTGTTAATTGTGATTTTATAATAAAAATCATTATGTAATTATAAAAACAATCCTACTAAACCACTGTGGTTTTTCATTACCATGTTCTTACTGAAAGGTGATCTTCTACCTGCCGATGGGATATTTATTCAAGGAAATGATCTTAAAATCGATGAAAGCTCTTTAACTGGAGAGTCAGACCAAGTCCGCAAATCTGTTGACAAAGACCCAATGCTACTGTCAGGTAAGTCTGCCTGAATTTTTGCCGAGTTATCTATTATGCAGTGCTTTGTTCATGTTTTATTTTGGTTTTCCGTGCCATCAGGTTTTGGTAAGATAGATACATCTGATCTTTTGAACACAGACACTGGCCTTGTCTGTTTGTCATTCAAAAGACATGCTATTGTCTTTTTGCTTTGTAACCCCCCAAGTTTTTCCAAGTTACAAATGTCGGAAAAATGAGTTTGCACGTGTTCAGTAGAGGCTAATAAAGGTTAGTGGAGTAGCTGCAAATTCTGAAGGCTGCGTTTGTGCAAAGAAAATACAGTTGAGAGCTCAGCATTTGCAGGCAGCACACATACAGAAAAGCTGCGTAGTGGGGACAGCGCCATTGTTAACTTCTTGGTGTCACTCTGGCTCCTTGCTATGCTGTAAGGTAACTTAAGGAAGTGTTCTGACTTGTGTGAGCAGTGTATGAAACTACTGACTGTTATTTTTGCTAGATTTACAAGAATTTTATTTATCCTAGTGGTGCAGATACTTAGGCTTAACTTCACTGTAGATTAAGAATTCTCTTGGAGATGCTTTCCAGTGTGTAAACAGGGAGGACTGCAGTGATATTTTGAGGAAGGGTAGTTTACTGTTGCTGTTCCTAACAAAATTTGTAATCCAATATTGTCCCTGAAATATTTGTGCATTTTTTTCCATCTTTTTCTTAGCTGTTATCTGTACTGTATTGTAAATATAACTTCGTAACTGGCGTAAAATGTTCATTTTAAAGAGATAGTTTTAATATTTTCTTATAGAAACTTCTATCATGAAATACCATAGATTTCTATAAATTAAAATATCCTGTTATTGGATTCCAGAGTTTTTCTGAAGTTTCTGTTGATTCATTGTCTCTCCCATATTCCTAAATTGAATTAGGTCTTTTTGAATGCCTGTAGATTTCAGTGGTGGCTGTGAGAAAACATGAAGGTATTGCCCTGACAGGCATGGTGGGATGAGAGAGGGAAAGTGGTCAGTTTAGGACAAAAGATGTTTTTGTCTTCCCAAAACTGAAATTTCTTCGCTATAAGGAGAAATTTCTCTTTTTGCTTTTATTGCAGAGTCAAATAAAGTTTATGCTCTTTATTTTTCTCTATTAGTATGTAATCTCTATTGTGATTACAAAGAAGGTGAAGAATTAATCTGGTATTTTAACAAGCACTGCACATCCCTTTGTTCCATACTTACAGTAATGAGTTTTTGCTCATGCCGTGTTAGAAGATCCCTGAACTCTATTTGCTCAGGAGCAGAGTTGATGATTTGAGATTCTATCATGCAAAAAAAATACCTTCTTCCATAGATACAGTGCAAGGTTTAATGCCAATAATGGGGGAGCTGATGTACCCATTGGAAATTGTTAGTAGTCCAAAAACTTGGAAGCCACCATGTCTTTCAAGGTGCATTTGACCTGGTGTAAAAACTGAGTTCCCCTTGGATGTTAGCCTAGACCTATATTTATATAAAACTTGTTTAAAGAAAAAAAAAATCCCAAACCAACTCCCTGCAAAAACAGTCAACAGACCTTAAATTTTGCTCTTATCTTTCCTCCTGAATACATCAGTAAGTTATCTCCAGGTAGGCAAATTATTTTAGACAAATAATGTGAGGATATTGCTTGCCACTGTTGTCCCTTAATCATCTGTTGGAAATGAAAACACGCCAGGTTTGACAGAGGAATAACTGAAAAAAGGTAACATCTGAATTGCAGCCACAGTTTGTCTTGTGAGTCTAAGTTTGGTGAAAGATAAACACCCTGAATCAGGAAGTATTATTTGCGCCGTTGGCACCTGAAACATTTTTAATATTCAGTCAGTTTCACTGATTAAACAAATGAGTTTCTGTGCTTAATGTCCTGTTTAATCATCCAGATAGTCATTTGCTGTACTTGAGAAGCAATTCTAAGAGTACAAATGCTGACTAAACCAGATGGTTCATTTCCTTCTGTATATAGAACATTCGGTACCACCTAGGAAGTCAGAAATGGAAATACAGACCAATATACCTGAAACCAAAAGCAGCAGCTTCTCTTCTATCGTCCCACTATAATTCTGTCTAAAACATTTTCCTTCTTAACAGAGGAACATTTTCCTTCTCTTCCTAACAGAGATTTTCATGTGTAGCATAGCATAAGCCATTGCATCAACAGTCATCAGCTTAAAGAAGACTGTGGTGACGTTAAATCTCTTTGCAGTGACCATGGGCATGTATCAACCAACAGATGAAGTCAGCTGGGGTCTGACTGCTGCTCAGCTGTCTTGGTTGAAGCTGATGTGCCCTTTAAGTTTTGTATAGTTCAAAGTTCAGAGAAATCCCTGATTTCTAAATTCAGAAGTTTCGAATGAGTCTGGCCCTTAGTATTGCGCACAGTGAAGTATTTTGGGGTACCACGTCATAATAGTTAACATTGTAAAAATTACATTATGAGGCTTACTGTTTAAAACTAGGCATTTAGATTAATTCAATTAAGGTATGAAAGAGTTACATACTAGTAACTCTCAACTAGTGTACTGACAGAACATCACCTTACCCTAACCTAACTTTTTATAAATGTGTCTTTCTATCGATGCACGACAAGTATTTGAAACAAAGAAAACTGAGCTTATTCAAGAACAAATGAATAAAAGAAATCTCTTGGTTATGGTGTTTTGTTAGGTTTTGGAAATAAAAAGGAAGCTTGATTAAGGAATCGAGTCAGTTATTGCCTGGAGAAAAGTAGTTCTGATTCTGTCTTAATTCCCTGCCAGAAGATATTCCAAGCTAGGCTTCTAGCACAGCAGAAATTTTCAGAAGAGAGCAGCTAACTTGAAATGTTCTGAAATTTTTGGATATGTTAAAATTACACACAGTTTTTTCTGGAAAACTCTTATTTGTTCATAGAGGGTAGTCTGATGATTGGTTCATTTTATTATTAACTTCAGTTACCTCTTAATAATTGCAGCGACTTAAATTATTGTTTAGATATGCAGATACACAGAGAATTTTTGTTCACCACAAGTTTGCTAGAAGTAGCGTAAGAGTATAAACCCCCCAAACTGGCATGCTCTGGTTTTCTTTTCTTATTTTTCAGCCATATTTCCAAGGTATTTCACTACTGCTGTTATTAGATTTCGGGATTTCTGAGCACTGTCATTTTTAGTTCCATTTTTGTCTGAAAAAGTATATGCTGTAATAGGTTCCTTATCTGTCTAATCTGTTTACCTCTTTTCTTACAAAACTAGATTTACTCCTTTCCTATCTTGGAATACTCACCATTTATCAACTTCAAATTAAATACTCAGCATATGAAAAAATGTATTTTGCTAATATTGAAAAAATAGTCTTGAGAGGGAAAGAAGTCAGTAAAATTGTTCAATGTGAAGTTGGAATACATACTTGGTGTACAGATTAAGTGGAAAACATGCGTTCATTCCAGAATTCCATTTATGTAATAATAGCTGACTGAAGTCATAGAGCCCATTTCTTTATTCAACCTAATATAATTATAATAGCGTTTAAACAGTGAAATTGCCAGAGTTAGGTGGAGAGTTAGGAAGGAGCTTCAGGTCTTTGCTTTAGCTTAGATGCTGAAGAATTTTTCCAGGGGTACTAGTGGAACATAATCTGATGATAAATTAGTACCTGCTCTAAACCATGCTTTCATGCACCTTAATGGTTTTGAATTATGCTTTTCAAGACTAACATTAAGAAAAGTTTCAGAAAGGCATTTCCAGTTAACATATTTTTGCCCTTTCCAGATGTGTGGAGGTAAGTTTAAAATCTGGTGGGTGCATATTTTCTTAGTAAAGGTGGGTTTGAAATGTAGTTCTACATGCCATTTCTGGGAGGATATTTCTACCCACCTTTGTAGTCCAATACAGAAGACAATCCTTGAAAACAAAGCATAGGAACACTAAAAGCAAGTTCATAATTAAAATAAATTTTAAGTGGTGTTACATCTTAAAGGAGGTTCTAAATTTCTGAGTTAAGTTTCAGACATTTTCTGTTTTGTCTGAACTAGTATAACTAAAGCTATTCTGGTTTGTAAAGATCTTTTCTGTTCCTTTAGGCTTGAATTTAACTGGTTTTTTTGTCGTTTGGGTGGCGGTCTTAAATTGTGTGTTTGCAATGTTTTACCTTATTGTGTGAAAGAAAGGAAATTACTTTTTAAGCAATCAAATTTTATCTCAAAAAGCCATTGGAACAGTTCTCAATGCACCAAGAAGGTCTGCTGGTTGTTTGGGTTTTTTTTTTTTCTAATATATCTCTGATAATTATTGCATTTTTGTTTTTATTTGGCTTATTTCTGCTGAAATTTTCTTAGTGTTCTGATGAGATATTTATGCTCGCAATTAGATTTAGTGTAGGCAGATGTTCCCTCTGTTCTGTGTTTCTGTTTTCCTTTTAAGAACATGAGAGGTTTTGGTTATTTAAAGATATTTTGATTTTAAATAGATAGTTGCGTTGCTTATCATGTTCTATGACAGCAACTGAATGAGCAGTAGTAATAAAGTGAATTTGTTTAAGAAATGGGTTGCAAGTGTGTATGCACCTATATATAAAATATTGATCTATTTAAAGACACAGGTACATATATCTTTCCTTTTCTTCAGCTTTATTGGTTAAAAGCCATTTTGCAGGAGTCTGAAGAAAGCTTGTTTGAAAATGTCTTATTTTTTATGATGGCTTCACCCATGCCCTGCTGTGTTACATTTCAGAACTGCAGGCATCAGTGAACGACTTAACTTTAGTTTTAAAATATTAAGCGGTAATTAATGGTGGAAGTGGGTAAGTGATAGGGGCAAGATAGTTGAGAATAAGCATACCAGAATTTTTACCTTGTTAGCCACAGAATTGTTTAGGACAGGTCGGTTAATGACTCTACCTAATCCATGCTGTTACAGGATGAATGAAAGAACCTTACATTTATGGCAAACTTGATAATTGTAGAGCAGTACAATGTAACCTTTGAAGTGAGGTGAGGATCAATAGATTAAAGCCCAGAAAAGAATAGTAGTTTGTCACAAGTACTGCAGCAACAAGGCAAAGATTAAAGCGAGTATTGTAAGCAGTATAATCGGTTTATTATCACAATGGTCAAACCGTTTAGTTGATCTAAAGGCTCTTAAACCATCAAATAGCTTCAAAAGAAGAGTAAAAATGCTTTCTCTCTCCACACCCCCATGTCCCTCCAAAAGGAAAATGCAATTACCGGACTATGTTCTGATTCCTTCTGGTCTCATTGTTCTGATGTCCCACAGCTGCAAGTCTGGAATAATGACAGTCTTAAAATATAATTTATTTAAAACTATAGCACCTAGGATTAAAAACAATTGCTAAATAATAGAATACGTTGTGAGCAGGTTCTAGTTAACCATGTGTCCATCCATAGTTCACTTGGAGGTCTAAATACATGTTTGTCTTTTTTGTATACAATGATTTTTTTTTCTCGAGGCTTAACAGTTTGTGTGTTACAGTCTATTTTCATAGTTTCCAAACTACTTCCTTCTTCAAATACAGGAAAAGAAGCCAAGTAAACTTTTAATCCTAGCTTGCGTTGTCAACTTTGTGTTAAGAAATGATTGCTTTTTCTCTGTGTTCTCACAGTGACTTACACTTAATAGGCATCACACAATTTTCTACCGCTAAAGGGTAAAATACGAAGTCTATTTCAATGAATAGCTTTATCTATCTCCCGGTAGTTTCTGGTCATTATGTATTTGGTTTTTATGTTTCATAGGAGCATGACTGATCTGCTTTGTATCTTTTAAAATTCACTACCTCCTAAGGATATCTCTCTTTGAACATTTTAAATATTACTTCAATAATGAAGTTTTTAGATTTAGACTTTGTCACCACATGAAATGACAAATTAGTCACAATTTGATACCATCCTTGGCACATTTGTTCCTATGCTTCAATGACGGGGATTTTTTAATAAGTTTTATTAACTGGCCTTAAATACATGTTGTAACAATAGGTTGTTCTTCAGTGTCAAACTTTTTTTTACAAATAGCCAGTGTGCAATTGGATCTTTTGCAAATCCTCTGTAAATCAGAACGCTTTTGATAATTTCTAAGAATTTCTATTTGTGTTTCCACAACTCATAGCAAAAGTTTTCTAAGAGGCTGTGATCTTAGAAGCATCTAACATTGGATTCGATATAGGAATAAAAGCTGTAAATAAACAATTTCTATACAATAAAGTCTGAAATACTTCTCAAAAGGAATTTACTTAATATAATGATATCATCACCTAATGATCCTTCTCAGAAAAACTTAATGTACATTTTGATGGATTTTAGAGTAATAGAAATCTCTGTACCTATTGAATTTTTTTTCAAGTGTACATCAGCTTCTTCTTGCTATTTGGGAATCTCTTGATTTTATTAAATATTAAAGATACAAAGATTTTGAAGATTTTGAAGATTTTTCTCTGTATTGATTTTTCAAGTTTGGAGGTGTGAAATTGTCTTAACAAATATTTTTTCTATGCCTGTAAATCAACTATAACTGAGAAAGATGAGAGAAATTGCTCACAGATTTTCACTTCATTTATGTGATAGTATTCCAAGTTACAAGAATTATCTGTGTGAAGCTAAACTATTATCTTCCAAGATTATGTAAACTCTGTTAGTGACAACATCCCTTTTAGAAAGGGAATCTGATGTGTGTGGTTAATGAATATGCAGCCTAAGATTTGCAATTAAGCATCCATTTTTGGCTGAGAATAATATACAACAATAGGGATTATTTTTGGTATGTAATTATATTGGCCTCTAGATTTTTAAAGCATAACAAATCTCTCTCATTACTGTAGTAAAAGTCTTGCATAAAATATTTAATAGTTGTTCTTTTTTTTAGCTATATATAACTTATATTGCATATTTTCAGGTACTCACGTCATGGAAGGCTCTGGACGAATGCTTGTAACTGCTGTGGGAGTGAATTCTCAGACAGGCATAATCTTCACTCTGCTAGGTGCTGGAGGAGAAGAAGAAGAAAAGAAAGATAAGAAAGGTAAATTTCCTAACATATAAGGTTGCTCTGAAGAAAGCTCTTGGGCTTTGTGTAGCCAGAGCTGTCCCCCATTCTCACCAAATAAATACAATTTTTAAAACTTCCTCAATTGTATACATTTTTGTCATTACATGTCACACAGAAAAACAGCAAAAGCTGTTAGCCAATAAATACATTGGATAACAACATGTTTTTCCAGTGTGAAATTGCAGACTCTCAGTACGTAATTAAATGCAAGGGAATACATGGGCATACTCCCATTGCCATGTCTTCTTTACGTAAATTCATACCCACCTAAAATTTTCTAAGGTTTTGCTCTTGCGCATTTACATCTATGTAATATTTTTTTCAGGAAAAAAACCCAAAACCAACTTTGGCTATGGGAATAGCATCTTTCTTTGAGCTTCAAAAATAAAATAAAGATAAGACATGGCTTTTTGCTAGCCTAGTTGTTAGTCAGTGAATTTAGAGGCATATTAATTTCTTAAGGAGTAAATGTCAAACTAAGAATAATAAAAAAGAAGGAATTAGCTGTAAATGTTAACAGAGGGTAACTTCGAAGACCTGTATCAGTTAATGAAGTCAAGAAGTCTCTTTAGACTTTTCACCTTATTATAGTGTGACGCCATAAGCAATTGCTAATTTATGGGTTGCACACTAAGGACACATCTAATATGTGTCCTTTCCAGTTTTTGTTCATACAGTCTTGTAAATTTTTCACATCTACTTTCAGAATTTCGTTTCAAGTTTGTTCTAAGAATATTTATCTCTCAGACATAATTGCCAGTTAACATGAGGGGTTTTAGACATTTCCACTCTTTAGAGGTTTTCACTATTAATAAAAAAGAGTAGTTACAGCTTTGTTGAACGTTTTGCTTAGTATCTGCCAGGCAGTGTGATTCAACCTTTTTTTCATTTCCATCCTTTTCATTTGAAGCTGCAGATAGGAAGGCCAAATTTAAGTGGTTTTCATGACCTACAGTTCCGAGTATGTTCAATAAGTGGTTGCCCTTGACTCCGTGGTTCTCTGATTAAAGACTTTATGAAATGTTTACCGTTTCATTGCTACACAGAAAAGCACAATACCTGCTAGGCATGGTAAGCTCTAGGAACATTAAAAGGAGAAAGACTGAAACTTCCCAAAGTAAAACTCTTTCATGTCAGACTAGTCTTGAACAATATCTTAGAGTTTGATCTTGCTGTCATTAAGAGAAGTCTCAGACACAGACCTTTTGAGGCCTAGCAGCATCTGTTTTGGCAGTGTCTAAGGGTATTGTAGCTGAGGAGCAACTTCACTACCCCTGTTTGGAAGCAATACTTACACAGGCATGTAAGAACTTTTTATGCAGACACTGAATCTAATTGAATATAGCTACAACACCAAGAAAATTCCTTCACCTTTTCTAATGTTGCTAGCGGCTTTGGGCTAGTGCAGAGGAGTGCCTGGGCAGAGCCAGTTGCAGATCAAGGCCCAAACCCAAATAATATCCTAATATATAAACCTGCAATTCTCTGAAATCCTGCCAGTCATAAATGTTTGTTTCAGTCTTATGTGGGTGTATGCTTTTATTGTTCATTAACATTTTGTAAAAATCATCATACAGGTGTGAAACAGGAGGATGGACATCAGCTTCCAGGTAGAGTAAGCATTGTACCGCATCAAATGAAAGGATGAGGCTTTTAGCCAGCAGGCTTTGGTGCAAATCAGGGTTGAACTAACGATTAAAATAACTGTCTTTGAATCAGTCCAGTTAAATTGAAGAATAATTTCAAATCAACAGGATTGTTCGTGGCAAACATTTAACTGTGTATGCGTTGTTGGTGTTGCAAATCTTAATGTTAAGCTTGAGTAATCAATTATTCTGCAGAAGTAAATTACAGTATATTAAATGTTGAAATACATGATTTGCTGTTAGCAGTTCATGCTGTGCTGGTTAGTATGAGTATCCAAATGGAATAAAAAATAAGCATGAGTAACCAAAACAGTTTAAGTTATTATCATCACAGTAATCAAATTTGCAATTGAAATTTTCATGAATGTAGTCGCACAGGGTGTGTTTTTAAATCCTGTATGCTGTTTATTTTCTCCTCCCAATTTACCATTTGTAAATAAAACATGACCATTTTTGTTGAACAGCAAACCAGTACAATCTGAAACAGTCACTATGGGTCAAGTACTGAGTTTCGATCAGGACTTCTGTGTTCTATTGTGAATAATTAACCAACAGAAACAAAACAAAACTTATTTTATCTATTATTTGCACAGACTAATTTTCCAAACTCTAGTATAAAACCCCATAATAAAATAATAAAACCTTCTTCGAGTTTTTCACCTTCCTGTTAGGAAACGTTGCTTGACCAATTTCTCCAACGTGCAGATAACTGCTGAAAAGAAAAAGAACATTTTTTTTTTTCCTGATACTTTTTTCATTTTGCCACCAAACAGATAATTATGTAATGTCTATGATTCTATGATTTAAAATAACTCATTATTCTCAAGACTATATTTGCCATTTCCTCGTACAATATTGAAATGTATAATGTTTTTACTCAGATTGAGGTGCTGATTAACTAGGTTGTGGCAGGACATAGCTTGAGCCTGTGTTAGACTGGGACATATCAGCAATAATACATCATAATATGCAACATTACATAAAATACAAAATATGTAATGTTGTATATACTATGTAATATGCTGCATATTTTTAAACTATCCATGCATTGCATAAATTCATTAACTCAAGGGAATACTTCAACCATTTTAATATTTGCATAACATTATATTATAGTAAAAAAATTACACCTAAAAGGACCAAAACAACATACTGAGTACTGTGTACAGTCAGTTCTCACCAACTTTGTTAACTTTGTTAAATGTCTTTCATATTTATTTGTTTATTTTATTATTCCACGTATGAGTTTTTGCCTTACTTTGTAACACCTTTGTAGTGACGTTTTGCTTTTGAAAGTTATGTTAATTAATTTAAAACAGATTGATTTTGGAGAAAACAAAGCTGTAGTATTCCATAAATGTTTTTTGTTTTGTCATGTGCATTTGTTCATGTTGTTATTATTATTATTATTTATTGGGTTTTTTTATCCATTATTGCTCAGTAGATTCTTCCCATCCCTCCTCCCACCCTCCTTCAGCTACAGATGGTGCAGCAGGTGCAAATGCCACTGATAATGCAAATGCCAGCTTAGTCAATGGTACGTCAAGAACACCTAGCTTGTTTTATTTGATAGATTTCTCTCCTGACTATGTAAGATTCTCTCTTCCTTTTATCAACTGCACAGATGTTGTACACGCATGTGATTACCCTCTGAGAGATCCTACTCCATAAACTGTGTAGTAGCTTATAAGAGATGCCACAAAGATGCTGCAACTTACTTAGTTTATTCATGCAGAATTAAGCACGGGAGAGGAAGAAGTAGGAATTATGATCTATTTGCCATTAATTAAAACTGCAATTAAAAGGAACAGTTAAGTAGGGCTAGTCTCAAAACTTCTGAGTTGTGTTTACATGAAGTTTCATTTTAAAGCTCTTCATTACACATTTGTCAGCACAGATCTGAAGAACACCATGATAAATGGATTATACATTCTTTTCGTCTGATGTGGCACTCTCATAAGTATTCATATAGTCCTAGAAACAGTGCTGGGGTCAGGAATCTGGCTCAATTTCAACTAACAGTGCTTTAGGAATATTTTTTTCTGCTTTAAGCATCTTCTTGGGAAGAAACTGACTGAAAAATTATGTTTGTGGATATTGGTGTATGCCCTTAGATAGTGATCAACTAATGAGCCTTCCTGTATTTACTAAAAAGTAAAAAAAGTACTACCATGGTCAGTTTTGACTGTCTCTTAGTATAGATTCTTGACCCCACATCTTAGCATGCAGATATTTCAGTATCTCTCCTAGTAGTCCAATTCCAGTATTAAATGGAATGGGTCAATATTAGTCTAGGCATCGGCTGCAGTTTTCTAAGAATCTGATACATTAGTCTTTATTTGCCATAGAAACCTTTCCCTCTTGTACGGCACCAATAATACTGCAAAAGTCATCCAGCTTTTCACCATGTTCGTGATAGAAATTTTTTCCATGCAGGTCAGTAGCTGTTGCATTATGCACGTGAAACTGGAGTTTCTGACATAGCAATACCAAGTACTAAACAAGTGCTAAGATTTACTATTGTAATATCTTATTTAAAGCAATGACATAGGAAATCTTTGAGCTTACTTTTAAATAATTTTATTATCATTTAAAAGAAACATATAACCAGATTTAAAATTTTACTCCTGCGTAGTCTAATTTTGCTGGAAAACTAGGATTGACAGTCCTTACCTCTTGCTGCATGACAGGAATCTACATCATCCTGGTTCCAACAACCCAATTTCAGATTCCTTAGAGAACATGAACCAGGAAATTAATGATTAATATTTCATTCTCCCTTCTTTATCCTCTATAATTCTACACTGTTGTGTGTAAAACAAATGTATGGATACAAGAAAGTCTTACCAGGTATCCTCCTTCAATCCCCCTGGAGACTACACGATTACATTTATGCTCAGTCCTGCAAGTCACCAAGTACCAAGTTAAGCCTCTGCTTAAGCGCTCTGCTGGATGAGAACCACTGCCCAGCAGGATGCAGGAATGAGTCCTGAATTGTGCTAACCTGCTCTCTCTGTTAGCAGGTCTTAGTTGCCTGTTGTGTTTGGTCTTAATGCCTGAACTTAATATGGAAATTGAGTTTCAAGGGATATTAAAGCAGTATCTTACGTAAGGATACGATTTTCCACCATCTTCTCTCCCATCACAAATAGTTACTGTCCCTGTTTATCTTGGATTTGAGAGACACATACTCAGTTCTTTTCAGTGCACTGTGTAGAAGTCAATTTTTTGTGCAGCTGAATATGGTTTTGCTTTTAACTCTTCTGAGGTGAGGCGTTTGAATTAATTCTGCAGCTCTGGAAAGGAGATACTTGTCACAATTCAACTTATCTGACATTGTGTTTAGAGGAGATCCGAGACTTGGCAAGTAGAGCTACATCTGAGTGCTCTGAAATTGTCTGGGAAAGTGCCAAAGTCTGATTTCCGTTTATACTGTACATTTTTCTAGTCAGCAGTGATGATGAGATAGAGAATTCTTAAAATGCAGATGTGTTTTAGAGGGGAGAAAGGAAGGAAAAAAATAAGTTTTAAATCAAGGAGACCAAGTTCACATAGTCGGTCTGGATGAAATGAATTTTTTCAGTAATGCCTGAGAATTCTCCCTGAGATGTGACTGGAAACAAGCATTTTTACTGGAAGTCTAATACTTCTGTGTAGAAAATACCTTCAGATAAGAAAAAAATATTATATGCTTGAATAAGTACTTAGCTCAGGAAATGCTATTGCTTGTTACTTAAAAATAAACTTACTACCATTTAAAATAAAATATTGTTATTATCTTAGTTGTCAATGTACATTTGACACAGAAGTATTTTGTTTTCAGTCAGTGAGCTTATAGTGATAAATTCACATAGGTTTGTGACACAGCCTGTTTTATTATCTGCTGTGTCGAAGGAACTATAAGGAACTCTACTGGTTTCTAGTAGTTGAGATTAAAATACATAATTGTTTGATGGTCTCTGTTAAAACTATGGACAATATATTCCTTTTTTAAAAGGTTACAAGTTAACATTACGAGCAGATCAGAAAATTTTACAGAAAGGTAGTAATTAATGAAAATTCCTCTAATTTTAAAGTGTTCTATTTAGAAAAGGTAAATTTTTTTAAAGACAATACAGGAAGCAGCAATCACTGTTTACAGGTTGTTTACCCCAAATTTCCCAGATTTGATTTCCTTAGAGAAAGTAGTGCTTATCGTTGTCCAGTAGAGCACTACCCAATTCCTCAATTGGGAATTCCATGTTGGGTTGTTGGGTTTCTTTGGCATTTGGTACTCAGCGAATTTGCTACTTAAAATTATATTCTGATATAGAAAGACCATACCAGACTCAGAGAAATGTCTCAGGTGAAATGTTTCACATCTCCTGTTAATTCTCTCAGTTCTGGCATATGTGCGCTACTGTTCAATTTCTGCAAAGCACTTTGCAGTTTTCATGTATTTTAAAGTATTTTCTGAATTGTAACTGAAGTTATTTAGTGAGTGCATAAGAGAATGATCTAAAACTCCCTATTTGATACAGTGGAATCAGATTTATTCTTTTGTAGTTAACCTGTGTTTTACTGATGCATTGGCTCTGATATCACACTGCATGGAAGAATTCGCGATGATTCACTTCACATATGTTTGATGTCACTTTCCCCCCTATACATAGATTTGCTCTGTGTGTCTGTTCTTAAGAGCTGCAGAATATAACTGGCTTGGCATAAGAGGGCTAGAACTCATTTCTATTGCAAGATGAAACATTTTGGAAAATCAGCAGGATATTTTTATATTTTTTGCTCCATCACAGCGTGTGAGAGCATAACTTGATTAGCTGCTTCGGTTGATTCCAAACAGTTCCTCTGATGAACAAATAATTTCTAATGCCAGCGATGGGTCTTTGTTACTCTGTCTCCTTGACTCTTCATAAAGGGCTGGTGGAGGAAAAGGGGAGTCTTTCTTGGGATTTGAAGAAATAACTGGATTTGAGGGTAAGAAGTTCAGCAGTAATGGGGCCATGGGTATGTTCTAAAAAGCAGAACTTTTCCTAAGGGAAAGGCAACATGCAAAACATTTTATATTCAAACTCAAAACCTTCAAAGCAACTGCAGAATACAACTCTTATTAGGAGGCTCTACATTCTTTTCTAAACCTTCTGATTTTCATCCTTGCTTAGAAAGGTGGCAAAAATAAACTCAGATGAATTCCTCCAGATTTCAGGGCCTAGACATTGTTCCTTCTATTTCCAAAAAGAAAAGCAGGAAAAAATGGCAAAAGTATGTAAAAATATATATTTGAAGAATTATATACAAACATTTTAACAATATATTAATAAATCCTTATCCTTTTAATGTTTCTAAACAGTGCACAAAGGTCAGAAAGATGGGATAGTATTTCTGGTCCTAGCACTAACTGCAAGGAGAAAGGATTTCTCAGTAGTAGTGATTCTAGCATCTTAATTTCTTTCTTCATTTCTTTCTTCATTCATAATTTATAGCCAGGTGCAGGCTTAAAATTATTTGGAACAGGAGGAAATAAATACTTCACAGCATTCCTTTCTTTATCAGTTACCTAAATTCCCCGTTCTTTGTTATTCTATCTAAATAATTGGAATATAACTGATGACTGTGATGACTTCTCCCCTGTCTCCCAATAACCTAAGTTCAGTAGCTGCTGAGGTTAAGAATATATTTCTTAAATACTTATGTTTATATTGTTGCCAAAGATTGTTCATGTTGTGTACTGGTATTTTTAGATAGCCAGGGTGCTGAATTGCTAGTGTAATTCATTATGACAATTCTGATGCCCCTATTAAATAGCAAATCTATGTCATAAATACTTTGATTTACGTAGAAAAACAGTGTATTTTATGATTGCCAGTTATGCAAGTCATGGGGTTGGGTTTGGTGGGGTTTATTTTAAGTTGAAGAATCTTCAGTTTCAAACTAAAGGTTTCAACTGTATTCTGAAAAAGGAACTGTAGAGCAGAACATAGAGCAGACTGTCTGCTCTAAATCAGTGTTTTCCAGTTCTTAAGGAAGGCTTTATTCTCTAGCCAGAAATCAGAACCTCTAGAGATGTTTTATGACTTCCACTAACTTTATTAAAAACCATTCTAAGAAAAATAGCCATTAGGCAGATAGCAAGTTCCACTATGCGCCATATGCAAAATTGTACAGCAGATTTCACAAAAAAAATGAACTTGGTTTTGTTCGGGTTCATAGATTCACAGCTCATAGCAAAAAGTAAGTGTTTGGAAGGTAGACCCTGCCTTTTTAAAAGTCATGGTATAGCCAGGGTAGGGTTAGAAATGGAGACAAGCAGTCGATGCTAAGTCGTTTCCATCAGCATACTTTAGTCATCCATCTGAGTACTGAGATGATTTATATGTAGCACAGCATCCTTTCCCTTATTGTAATTCTATGCTTCCAAATTGCTCAGTGCCTGTAGCCTGTTAGTATGGGGTGAAATGTTGTAGTGATAAATTTATGACTGCCATTTTTGCTCTTTTTGAGAGGGAAGTTTTTTGTGCTCTCCCAATTACTAAAAATACAAATATGTAAGAAATCCATCTTAGCCTTTTAATTTTGCTACTATTTATTCACAGCGTAGAGTGAAAAAATTAATACATATGTTGAAGCGTAATTTCTGCTGCTTTATTGTGCATGTCGGTACCAGCTGTATTATTGCAGGAAGTTGGAAGAGCAGGACTTAACTGCTGTCTTCATTTTTTGTTTTATAAATTCTAATGATACATTTCTTATTAGAATGTGTCAAGATTCCTGTAAAGGTGTTTTAGCTAATAATTTTCCTTAGCATTATTTTTTTATTGTGCATTATACATAACTACAGGAGAATGTCGTCCATTCTGAATGCAATATTTATAAAACTCAAGTAGTCTTTTCCATAAGATAAATTCATATATCACTGTGCAAGTTTCATAAGGGATCCCACCAAGAAACTTTGAATACATTTTAAATGTTTTACTGGTTATTCTGAATACTGATGTTTTGTATCTCTAATTCGTATTTCACCATTTTGATTTTATACACACTTTCAAATGGTATATTTTCAGTTTAAAAAAACAAATAAGGACTTTGGTATGGTTAGACTATATATAGCTAAAATACTAAATTGGAAATTACAGATGCATTTGGCAAATCTTTCTTTAGGATAAATCTGAATATAGGATGATTGCTTGGCACTGTTATTTACAGGACTTACTTGCTAAAGAGTACAACCAAGTGAGGAAGGTGCAATTTTAAAATCTTATCTGATTTACATTTTTGTTTCATTATATTTATTAAATATTATTTATATTTTGTCCTAATTTACTAAAATAATGAATTTAATTCTGGAATACATTAAGGAAGTCATGCTCTATACTGGTGTGTGCCAAAATTATACTTGTGGGGTTTTTAAGTCCCAGCTCTCTGAAATGTTAGTTCAGGAATATTATTCAAATTCTGTTTTCCATTGGACTTTTTTTATTAGTTTCAGCTCCTTAATTGATGCGATTTGCTCAAAAATATGTGCTGATATTTAGTATTTTACATGTTACAACATTAAACTTGACTGCAGTTCCTTGAATGTGTCCAGCTAAGTTGTCCATGCTTCTAAGTAAACATATGATAACAATGGCTACTGATCATAAATACATATCTGTAACATGCTCATTACTTTTGTCTGCCCTTTTTATTTAAATTCCCATTTTCATGTTCTGTCTTGGGTGAAGATTGTTTATTGTCTGTTGTCTGTTGAAATTTTTCATCATATAGGCAAAATGCAGGATGGGAATATGGAGAACAGCCAAAACAAAGGTAATCTTCTTTCATATTAAGGAGGTTGTGGATTTTACTTTTAGCATGTAGTTAAATTCTGTTAAAAATTGAAATGAAAATTTGTGATTTGTGCCTGTGTGTAAAAATGGCCCTACTGTTCAAACAGAATGTTAAAAAAGCCCCAACCAACTAACCCCAACAAAAAAACCCCACCAAAGAAATTGTAACTTATACAATTTTGATATATCAGATATTTAGGATAGGAGAAGATCAGTATTTCTAATAAGACATTTATGGATTATACTTTGATGTCACAAAGTCAATTTGAATTCATTTTTCTTGTGCAAGTTATGTGTGCTATGTATTGTTAGTGAATTTCCAACCCTATTTTTGACATGTCTCATCATTTTGGTGTTCAGTGGCATTGTACAGGCATATTTTCATTTGCAGGGAGAATGTAAAGCAATAACAAAAGGAAATTTTAAAGCCAAGAGGTTATTTAGCAATGTAGAAGTGTATTACAAAGATAAATAACAGCAAGATAAGAATCATAGTAGTTTCTTACTTAGTGTACAGTCTCCAGAAGAAATTGAATAAATGTTTAGCTTTCTCTGAAGCAAAGTCATGGTTACCTTTTTGTTATGTGAGACACAGCTATCACAATTTCTTTGGGTTATGCCAAATAGGTAAATTAAACTATAACTTTATCTTCTCAGATAATTCTAAAGATTTCAAAGGTGGTGGATCAGAAACTGAATAAACTCAGTTGTTAATGGTACAAAGCTATTAAATAAAATTATGTTGAATAAGTTAAGGCTAGATAGACAAATTAGATTTCAAATTTCACGAATGTCAAAGCAAAGCTGTTTCATCTCATTCTATTTAATTTACTTATGTCAGCATTCAATATAAAACAGACACGTACACATATATAAACTGGAATGTCATTGCTTTTAAAAACCATGTTTTTGTCTTTGGTACTAAAATAAAGTTTCCTTACAGCATTCTTTCAAGAAAGGATGGTTTGGCCTTTAATTTATGTGCACTTTTTATGGGAGAATGATGATGGTATCACCATCTGACCTGATGGTTAAGTTTCTTGAATGCTGAATGCTAAGGAACCTTTTTAAGTCTGGTATTGTCTAAAATAGTGGTTCGTAAAGTGTGGTCCGCTGGTCACGAGGTGCCCATGCAGTCAAGAGATGCCATGCATGGATCATCTCTGGAACCACATTAAAAACGTTTTAACTAAAAGTATGATTATAAGGATGCATTGTAATCTATGAGAAGCACCAAAATTTAGAGATATATTGACGGTCTATTTGCCAAAGCATTTGAGATCTGCTATTCTAGGAAATCTAGGAAATCCTGCACTGTACTGGTGTACTGTATGCAAGGCATTAAGTGATATGTATGTGCATAATATGGAACATCATTGGTGGTCTAAAAAAAAAAAAATCAATGGTTTTCATGGTACTTGACAAACGGTGCATTACGTGGCCCCATATGTATGGAGTGCACATGGGTGTGCGTGGATATTTGTGCCCCTGCAGAACCCCACTGGTTCTCATAGGAGCATCTGGGAGCGAAGGGTAATTCTGCGCACAGTTACAATCATCTGTGTTGCAATCAGCCCCTGCCACGGGTGTTGCTGGTTGAATTCAGTAAGTAACAACACTATGATAAAAAGAATGAAGAATAGTTTTTGAGTAACAGTTTTGTTCTGCATTATTAGCCAAGCAGCAGGATGGGGCTGCTGCCATGGAGATGCAGCCACTGAAGAGTGCAGAAGGGGGAGAGGGAGACGACAAAGACAAGAAGAAATCCAACATGCACAAGAAAGAAAAATCTGTTCTTCAGGGAAAGCTGACCAAGCTGGCAGTCCAGATAGGCAAAGCAGGTATGACCGGATAACTGACCGGTTATATATATATATATGTGTGTGTGTGTGTGTATGTATATATATATATATATAAAAAATAGCAATGTGTTACACGAGCAACAAAAGGGGTTTAAACCAAATTATTCTTCAAAGGGGTAGGCCTTTTTTACTGCAATGTGTAGAAATAGGTCATCATTATTCTGTTCCAAAGATAGTATGTGGCATTGAAGATCTTTTATTCTTCTAAATCTCAGCCTCAGCTGTCAAGAAACTGGAAGCTTTGTGTGACTTGGATTGTAATGAATATTTGAATCAAAATGAAATGTAGCTTTTCTCATAGGCAATATTCCCAAGTGCAGTAATTACATATTTAATTTCCTCTCCCCTTAGAACTTCTGAGTACACAGTTTCAGGATCTCTAATATCATCTCAAAGTATCACTCAGTATTTCCTTCTTATGGATTCTGAAATCGTTCTGTTCTCTCTTAATATCCATGTTCCTGCCTTCTACCCCAATATGACACATCTGCTGACTCTCATATCCAGTACCAGCTGGTCCCTACTGTTATAAGTAGCACTTCTTCTCCAACCTGTAGGTAGAAAGTGAAAATCTTTCATAATGACATAATATTCATTAGGTTCATTTTTCTAGTATTAGAGAGATCTTGGTCTCTATCCAGATCCTTGGCTGAGGCCCTACAACAGGTTCCTAACTTAACTTCTGCAATCTCCTTTATCCTTCTTTACCAGTCTGATTTTTACCCCTGCTATTCCTTCTTGTTCCTTTTTAAGTTCCTCACACTAAGTTGATCCCATAACCCCATGATGCCACTTCTCTTTCTTTGCCTGAACAGCGCATGACTCTGAATCTATGATTATCATCTCTTTAATATCCAATTTCATGCTTTACCCAGATTCATCTTCCTCCAGCTTCTCTGCTTTGTTGCTAGTTGTGTAACAGTACGCATTGTTACAGAAACCCTTTTCTCATGATCATTAATTTCTTAGATTAAGTACCTTTCTATGTTGCCTTCTGATTATTACTCTCTTTGGTATTTCGGCAGGCCTGTGAATATCACTTTTAAAGTAGTTGCCTAGGGATTTCTAACCACAATGTGGCAAGTAATATAAATTAAATTAATTAATCATTGCCTCATTTGGTTTTCTTTGTTGTTGGGCAACCTATAGGGATATCTTGCATTGTCATGAGTATTTGCCTGTATGATATTTTAATGGATTTTCCTTTATCCTCTGGCATTCAGCAGCCCCCCCGACTCATCTGTTTCCTGTCAACCTTAGCATCCTTCAGCTTACCATCTTATTTTTTAACTTCAGTCAAGACATTAAATTCACAGCGTTTCCCTTCTACTGTATGATCTCATTAGAGAGAAATTAATTTATTTTGAAATGCAGGCTTAACTGCTTCATAGAAACCTGCCAAAGAGCAGTAATCGTAGCAAGGCAAAACAGATATTCTAACAGAGTTTTTATTTGTATATTCAAATCCAGGAACAAAATTGTGAAGGAGAAGAGCTATCTTAGCAAAGTCTTTGTCACTGGGAGAGCATATTAAGTCCCTGGGATCTGTTGTGAATTCTGTGAAATAGTTATTAGTGCCTCTTGTGCTATACTGTCAGTGTTGTACCTTTTTTGAGCCTCTCCTCATAAAAATACGCACTGTTTGCATATGTTTCTTTGAAAAGGGAAATCTTGGAAACACTAGTATTTATCCCATTTTTAAGAAAAACAGTTAAAAACTGTTCTGTGGCCAATTCTGAAGTATTGCCTCATTGTACTCAGCCAGACACATCAGTAGGGCTTTTCTAAAATATTTTATACAGCAACATAAACTACAGGAGACTCCTTTTCTCAAGCCTCTTAAGATAAGCTTATTTAAAAGAAAGATGAGTGTTTGAATATGGATAGACTAGCAATTTGTAAAAGGTGGAGGTTAAGAGGACAGATCAGTGTTGTACCACGCAAAGTAACGTACTGAATTGAAAAAGCTTAAGCAACAGCAGAACTCGTGTTGAACTAGGCTGACTGAGAAGTTTTAAAGGCAGCAGTAAGATGGTGCTTGAAAATTAGTACAGTATTCAGCTGCTTTATAGAACTCAGTGAGTGTATGGCTGTTGTAAATGTATTATAGTAATGTTTTTTCTACATTGTAAAATTTATCATTATTGTTATTGGTACTGGAGAAAAATGTCAGGTAGAATAAGAAAATAATTTCATATAAAATTCAAATGTAAATTTCTAATTGCACGTGTTTTTAATTGTGTTTAGTTTTGTAGTAATTTATTATTTCTGTTTTCAGGTTTGGTGATGTCTGCCATCACTGTAATCATTTTGGTACTGTATTTTGCCATTGACACATTTGTGGTCAACAAGAAACAGTGGTTGCCTGAGTGCACTCCTGTCTATGTCCAGTATTTTGTTAAATTCTTCATTATTGGTGTTACTGTACTCGTGGTTGCTGTTCCTGAGGGACTTCCACTTGCTGTCACTATTTCTCTGGCTTATTCTGTAAAGGTAAGAAACATTAAAAATAATCATGGGAGAAAAATGCTGTTAAGTTGAGTTTGCTAGTAAGTTCTTCTTCAGGTTTTATCAGGTGTGACGAAACTTCGCCTGAAAATCAACGTGCACAAAATGTTAATGAGAGTGAAATTTCTTTATTTACCAGGAATTTATTGAGCAGAATTTACTATGACAATAGTTCAGTCTTTTGATATAGAATAATCTTGTCTTCATATTTTCTTGTGCAATAGTACAAAGTTTTGACATGGATTTGAAGTCTTCAGGAACACTTTTCAAATAAATCAGAATTTTGCTGGAGCTTTCATGTACTTTTCTTAAATAAACTTGCGGTTGTTTGTAGCCAATGTAAATGATTCTATTAGGACTATTAGAATCCCGGACTTGTGGATTACTCTGTTATCTATCTAGGAATTGTCTCAGGTTGTTTTAGCAATTTAGTCAGATGGGCCTTATTTAAACGTTCTGGGAATCTTAGATGAAGATTTTGTAAAGTTTATTTCCATTTAATGTGTAAACAAATTAACATATGAACGTTAGGAAGGAATAGCTTGATCTATATGGAGCCAAATATCATTATTATTAGGAAAAAAAAGAATCCATCTCAAGCATGGGATTTTGCTAATGAAGACTGAAGCTGCTTTTAAAATATTTTCCTATTCTCCTTGTGTCCTGCATCAGGCACATGTATTTGCACTATCAAATATTGAAAACATAGAAACAAGGGTAACTTGTATTTCCAGGATGTCTGTGCATCTTGTGAAAAACATGCACTGTGGAATGGAGTACTCCAGTGAGATTTTGTGGGTGTGGGTTGGTTAGTTTGTTTGTTTGTTGGGGGGGGAGGGTTGGTTATTACTTTCTTTCTTTCTTTCCCAAGATGTATAGTCCTTCTGAGTGCTGCAAGATAACGTCCTGGCATTGGAAAGAGTATGAAAAAGAAGTCTAATATTTGCTATAATTATTTTGTTTTTAAAATCCTGTTATTTTCAGGTTTTTTAGCTAATCTTTGCTGTTCTAACTATTCCTTAAAATGTGTATATACTGTAAAAAATGATGGAACTCTCAGTTTATCAAAGACACTGTTATTTCAGGGATGGTCAGTGCTTGGTTGTCTGTAACTAGGGCTTGGGTTATTGGCCCCGATTAAAGTTCTAGTCTAGTGAGCATTATGTTCTAATGAATAAGATTAAATACCTGCCTTTTTGCTTTTTATAACTGGTGTTAAAAAATCTGTCAAAGCAAATCTTGAAGGTTTTTTTTATTTTGCTTTTTCTCAGAAAATGATGAAGGATAACAATCTGGTCCGCCACTTAGATGCCTGTGAAACTATGGGTAATGCTACAGCCATCTGCTCCGACAAAACAGGGACACTGACAACCAACCGGATGACGGTCGTCCAAGCCTATGTGGGTGATGTCCACTACAAAGAGATCCCTGATGCAGATTCTGTACCCACCAAAACCCTTGATTTGCTGGTTAATGCAATTGCTATCAACAGTGCTTATACTACAAAAATTCTGGTAAGTAGGCTTTTTCTGTCAATACAATTAAACAGCAAGAGTTGTAACTTTTTTTTAAGCATTGTTACTTCTCAACATCCTGTGGTTGATTATGAAGTGTTAAGTACTGTTGAGGTCCTCAAAATGAGAACAGGTGCTGTAAAAATGATACGTTTTTCTTTTAAGGATAGGGATGTACTTGTAAGTACAAGACCATGCTACATTTTAAAAACTCCTGCTGTTGTTAGATTGGGGTGGCCCAGTTTCAGTGCAGGTAAATTTGCTATCACAGCTATTTTTCACTGAGACTTCATATGTGTAAAATTATTTTTCTATGTCTAAGAACTTTCAATTCATTCTCAAATAGGACAAATTGGTTTGGTTAAATCAATGAGGTTAACGGTCTTTATTCATTCTGGTATCAAGTGAATTACATCCAGAAGTATTTTATTATTATTATTATCCAGAAGTATTATTTATTATTATTCAGTCTGTAAAGGAGGGCAAAATGGAAATGCCATGTTTGCTTGTGGCATTAGATTCTTCTGTACAGAGCTAATTAAGAGGCAGAAAACTTTTGCAATTCCAATAGATTTGTTCTTTGAAAGGTCAAGCTTAATTTTAAGAATAAATACATATTTTAGCTTATGAATTTATGTATTGTCCTTTTTATAGCTCTGCGTTGAGCTGAGTACATCTTGCATGCACTTCACGTTTCTTTTAAAAGTAGTCTTTTAAAATACAATCACAGAAAACAATTGGTGAAATACTACTGAGTGCTGGAGCATATATTGCCTTTAATTCTTGCTATGTAAATATCTGGATATTAGTAACAATCAACACTTGGAAGAAGAATGTTTAGAGAAACCTGAGCAGATATGCCAAATGTGTTTGTGGCAAAGGTGTGTTTGAAGGATTGCTTAGGCAGGGTTAGTGTCTGAAGTCAAGCCACAGCTCAGGCACCCTTCAGACAGCCATCTGTGCTGTGATGCGCTCGCTCTTCTGTTCTGGCTGAAAGCTCTCTGGAAAGGGAAGTGCAGGCAGAACCAGCCCCCGCAGCAGCTTGAGCCGCTTCCTACATCAAGAGTGAGCAGGGAATCACACAAAGCCTCCATCAACTCAGGAAGATATTGTTAGTTGCCACCTTCCAGCTGGTGTCGGCCAGCAATGGGAGCACACCTCTTCTGTTGCACCATACAGACAGATAGCTATAGTTGGCTGAGGTTGGAGCTAGCCTCTTTGGCTTTGAATTCAGATACCCTGGAAAAGCAGAGCTCACTCAGCTGCACACCAATTTCAACTGTGAGCATCCAACTAGCAGCACCAGCTCCCAGCTGAATCCTGGATCTTATTCTGTCTTTTTCTGATGGTCTGTCCAGGTCAAAATCAAGCAGTTAGCTGAAATGAAAGATGTGCCTTCCCTTCCCAGGTGTAAACGCTATGTAATAGCTCAGTGTGGATATTTTATGGCAGTGGCTTTTTGGAATTTAATTTGTGTATTTGTAAAGTAGCGAGAACATTTTACTATTGCTGGGTCAGTCATGCTTTCACAAATCAGTATAACATTTGATTGTCGGGGAGAGGAATATGCGTATTAGTTATTTTACTAGTGTTACAGCCTGAGCAAGGTTAGGCACCTCTGTAGAAAGAGAAATAGAATCCAATTCATCCTTAACACACAGGCTGGGATTAAGACAAGGTAACGCAGACAAATTGGGATGAAGGATAATAGGTAACTATATAAACTTGTGTTTGCATAAGTGCTACAGTGGTGATGCTCATCACCAGCATTGGTCCTAGCTGATGAGCTTGGGAGGGCTGTGGGAGAACGTTACCGACGTTGGTAGAATTTTCCTCACTCGTAAGACCAAACAAGGCAGAGGGCAGGCAGGCAGGCTGATTGGCGGAGTCAGGTGTCACTGGCAGAGCAAGACTCAACGTCAGCTGCGCTTCATTTGTTCTATATTTTGCTACTCATTTTGAATGCTTGAGATCAAACACAGTAATAAAGTGTTTCTGTTCAACTTCTGTACCAGTTCGCCCTCTCTGAATCTCAGAATAGTTTTAGCTTTCTGAGTAAGGCATGGGAAAGCATCAGACTTTCCAGAGTGATGCATCTGTAATATTAAGTTTAATGTTCTGTCTTTCTCTTGTGGTAATGGTTTAATTTGACTGAAAAATTTCTGGCCAATAGTAGTTCTAAAATTTCATTTTTGTCTCAATATAATTTTGGCTTTTTTTTTTTTTTTTACTCTTTTATCCCCAAATTTGTTAAATCCCCATAATTTCAAATGAAGTCAAGGGGAAGTGCTTGCCTTCAGCCCTTTTACCAACCATGTATAAAATAATATTTTATTCTGTTAAATTTTGGGTTTTTTTTTTTTTTTACTCTGGTTTGACTTTATTGCTTCTTGTTGAAATTAGTTATGTGTGCCTATTAAAAAGAGTCAATATTTCACCTTTTCAGTTCTTCTTTAGCTTTGCACAGAGGCTGGTTTTCTAAAACTGATAAATTGGTGAAATACTCTGGAAATCACCTTTGTTCTGGATGCTTATCACATGACTACTTGAATTTATCTGTGTAAATCCAATGATGATTTTTTAGTTATTATAACAGCATCATAAGACAAAGCTTTGTGGTATGGACCCCATGAGAATAACTCCAATGTCAGAGGAGTTAATTTTATTAATTGCTTATAACAAGCTTAAGCTAAAGTTTAAGAGACAAGGTATTTTTCTATAGCCCTCATTCATTTTAAATCATAAATAAATATGGTAAAAAATACGTAAGGGAGATGATTCCAGGATGAAGCATACAGAATTATTTTTCTAGCTGGTAATACTGAATGCATACTTGTGCACTCATTCTTAGAGCATATTTAATCAAATTGTGAATATCAGCTCAAACCCAAAGGGCATACAAGTGTTATGTCTCTAAGATTGAATTTTACGTGTTCTATTTTTAGTTATCTAGTTATGCATGTGCTGTAAATTGTGCTTTGTATGAACTTCTGTTCAGAGTGATCACATATGGGACCATAAAATTAGCCAAGATGCTCTGCTGAATGAGAAATATTCCCTCTTGCATTGTCTTTTGATTAAGGGGCAATTGAACCATTGATAAAAATATAAAAAGAAAATAATAACACTGCTTGGGAGAAAAGATTTGAATTTCCATGAGAAATTAAACACAAATTATTCCAACTGAACAATAGCATCATTAAATATCGTTCTTTTCAATGCTTTCCAAGGATTAAGTTACTGGGTGAGCTGATTTTGCATTCTATTAGTTTCAGAGCAACTTTAATGCTGCTTTTATACTGTTGATGTGAAGCTGTTTTCCAGAAAACCTTTCTTTTCCAGTATTCGTGTTTTAGATAGCTTTCCCACATGGAAGTAAAAATTAGACTTCATACATTTTTGCATGTGAGCTGTGATGAGGACTGTAATGCAGCTCTTACTCTGAAAAAAAAAAATTTGGCTTTTGGGAATACTTTGCACTCGGAGCAGAAGCGCATTGATCTTGAATATCATGGGCACTAATGAGACAGAGACTGCAAATGCCAAAACTGGTGATTTCAACTCTTCTATTGGGCTCTTGCTTGCATAAATTCAGTTTTAATCAGATAAGTATTTCTTCTAATTTCTTGAAAACTGTCAAAGGGCGTGGATGACATGCTTACTGGATGGGTGTAATGTGTTCTTATTAAGAAGAGACCACAATTAGTATTTAGTTGAGTGATTGTCAGCAGCAGTGAAAAAGACCTAGCTGGAGCTGTTATTGTTGGGATCTAACACAGTCATTTCGTTTGGTACTTGATAGGTGCCTAGGGAGCAAAAAAGCTACTTATGCCTGTATTAGGTGAATATCTGGATCTGCATCAGGAGGACTGTTTTCAGTCCTGACGATCTGGAGTATCATTTACTGCATTTGCACAGTGTGTGACACAAAGTAGCAGCATCCTTTAATTGAGGATCTCAAAGAAAAAAAGACAGAGACATCATAGAAAAGTGCAAACCATTCACTTCCTTCCGCAGCTTTGTTCAGCTTATGAAATGAAGTGAACATATGTTAGTCTATATGTTAGTAAATGTTAGTCAAGTAATGAATGTGACCTTGTAAAACTTTTGGAACAAAAAGGCCTCTATTGGATGAAACCAAAACAGGTGAATGAAGCAAGAAAAGGAAGGCTGCAGAGATGGCTTAGAGGGCCCCAAATAACCCCAGCAGGGAAGAACAGGGATTCCCCACAAGCTTTCCTGAGAGCAGTTTATTCTGGGGGAGGGCAATGGTTACCCTCCTTGGGAGAATGATGCTGAGGATGCCGGCCAGCTGCAGGGGCACAGGGCACGCGGCAGTAGGATGGAGCTGCAACGTAGACTCAGCTGTTAAGATTTACTAGGAGAGAAAGGAAGGTGTTAATTCACCTTCTTGCTTTGTGCAATTACTTTTTCCTAAGTATATAATGAAAGATCTTATTAAAATAAGTGGAACAAAATTTCTGACTTCTTTATGCTGAAAGCATTTCAAGAGATTTTTGCACAGAATTTTATTGTTTCGAATAAATCTTTTGACATTGTCTAATGCAGAACATGAATACACTTCATACTTTCTTGGAGGAAAGGGGTGGAGGGAGGCTAGCAGAGCAGGTAGGTAACCTATTATATACAAGAACCTAAGAAGAAATTACATTCTACAAAAGTGAAAAGGTAAAAGTAATGGAAAATAAGATTTTTAGTACAACAGCTGCTTTGCAGGAATAGATTAGAATCAACTGTGGTTATTAAGAACATGGATGTAGTAGCCAGCTGAAGGGTGCTTTTTATTTGTGAGGAATATATTTGCATCCATAAGAAGTACAGCTATCTGGGTTGTGGGGAGACATAATGTTCCTGTCAGAAATGGTCTTTAAAAAGGCACACAAAGTACAAAATGCACTTTTCTCTTACGGATTTTTTTTAAATCAAATTTAAAGACTGGATTTCATTTATCAAATACTTGAAGTAATCTTGTCTTTTTT